ACAGGAGTAGAAAGCCTCATATTTCTCCTGGGGTGGTCTGAAACTTTTGACTTTGTGGTTACCTGCCCTCTCCATAACCCACTATACCACTAGGGCTCTTTCTCCTTTTAGCTTTTTAGTTAGCTAAAATTGGAATGTTGTGGTTAGGTGCTCTGGAGTCGGTGTTGGCTCATAGCGCCCCCTATGTTCAAAAGAAGGAAACTGCCCAGTCCTGCGTCATCCTCACAATTATTCTTACGTTTGAGCCAAAAAAATTGGAATGGTGACCGGTTAAAAGGTCACTAACCAAAAGGACCAGTAACTGTGTAGCAAATGTTCCCTTTTGTATAAGTAAGGCTCAAAATAAGAGATTCCAGTTGGGAATTAACTCACTGTCATCTGTAGGGCAGAATAGAACTACTCCTTTGGGTTTCTGAGGCTGCAAGTCTTTATAGGGGCAGAAAGCCTCGTCTGTCTCCCGCAGAGAGGCTGATGGAGTCCAATGGTGACTTTGTGGTTAGTAGTCCAACACAAAACCCACAAGGCCACCAGGACGTCTCAGCTAGGAGTTACAGGCCCTTGAAAAGACAGCATTGGATCTGACAGTACCTGCAGTCCACTGGGGACCAAAAGAGCACACACAGCAGCCTGTGACTGCTGAGCAGTCTGTTGTTCTGGTCCTACTCAAAACTAGGCTTTTTTCCCCTTAGTTATTTAAACAATTACGTAGAGTCACACACCCAAATGAAATATGCTCTTTTCACAGTCTAAAGAAGTGCACAGAGCAGCTGCCTCTGTCTTCCTGGCAAGAGGAGCCAGAGGCAGCAACCTGTCTTGACCACTGACAACAGGGTTGTTAATGCCTTTAAACCTAATCAGATAAACTCTGGATTCCCATCCCTTAGCTTTTATCCGTCTGAAATCACTTTCGGTATGTATCACATTACACGTCAAGGTTTAGAGAGAAACATTAAGAGTATTGTGAAATAAGGGGTTTATTATCGGGATACCTTGCACAATTTTAGGGACAATAAGGGAATGAATGGAGAAGTTGGAGGATCAGAGAAAAGCCACTCATCAAAACTTCAGAAGATGGAGAAGATGGCCCCTCAGCTAGAGCAGGGTGGCCAATGAGACGTGGTAGGATGTTGGTTTTCTTTACACTGAGTTGGAATCCACCCTGAAGGCTGCGATCTTTGTAGCAAGGGCTTCGAGTCCTCCTCACGATCAGCAAGCAGAGCTGGGCTTACTTCTTCCGAGACAACTTTGGTTGTTCATTTGGCAGCCCGTAGTACGTTCAATATTCTTCGCCAACATCACAATTCAATGCATCAATTCTTCTTTGGTCTTCCTTCATCAATAGCCAACGCTCATATGCCTATGAGGCAATAGAAAATACCATGGCTTGAGTCAGGCTCACCTTAGGCCTCAAAGTACCATCGCTGCTTTTCAACTCCCTAAAGAGGTGTTGCTTCAGCAGATTTACCCAACGTAACGCACCTTTTGAGCCCTTCACGCTGCTTTCGTGAGCATCGATTGTAGATCCAAGCAAGACAACATCCTCGACAACTTAAGTCTCTTCTCCACTCATTATGGTGTTACCTGTTGGTCCAGGTGTGAGGATGTTGGTTTTCTCTACATTGAGCTGTAATGCAGACTGAAGGCGCCGATCCCGGATCTCCATCAGCAAGTGCTCTGGTCCTCCTCACCGTCACCACATCGCAGGTTAACAAGTATAAGTAATGGTGTGTTGCCATTATTTTATCTATTTTACATAGTTGCTATTTTAGCCCAGCATGCAAGTCAATCAGCTATGAAAACAGTTGGGATTCTCTGTGTGTAAGTCAAACCAAGAGCAAGTTCGCACTTTCTGAATGGCTTCACAGACAGTTGCTTTCTGTCTGGTCTGCACATGTATTCCAGATGCAAAGTTTACAGCCACCCAAGTCCAGCACCGAGACCACCCTCAGTGACAATTCTGCAAGCCCATAGGACCAGAAAAATCAGAAGCAAGATGAGCTGCCCACTCTGAATAAGCTCTCGGCAGATGGGGAGTTTCCCTGAACCCATAGCAGGCAGGGCAGGAATGTGCATTTCCATGTTAGACTCTATTCCCCGGCGCACCCCCACCCCCCATGCCCTGGTCTAGATTCATCAGGTTTAGTGTTAAAGTAGTTTTTACTTATTTTGAATGTCACCCACTTGTAAAAATGGAGATAGTCAAACCCAAGGATGTACAGAATCATGAGCAGCATGTACATATGCAAAAGTATGCCTTTAGTCACGGGCACACAGGGAAGTATTTTAGGTGTAAATCACATGCACCTGGAGTGTATGGGCTGAACTGATCTGAGACGTGACATCAGCTTAGGGAAGCTTTCCACTTGCTCCACATTGTTCTCTTGACTTCTGTCTCAGGCTTCATGTTTTCATTCCTTTGGTTGTTAGATTTTACAAGCGGCGACGGAAACAATTAAGAGGGGGGGAAATTCCCTAACCTAGGAATTCAATGTAGAGTCATCATTTTCCAGGGTTTATTGAGAAAAGTTCAATGAAAGCATTGGGGCGGGGATCAGCAAACATATTCTGTAGAGGATCAGATCATTGATATTGTCGGCGTTATGGTACACACGGGCTCTGTCACAGTTGAACTCCGCCGTGGTAGCGAGGCAGTGGTGGCGTGTATTCTTTGAGGCCATTCTGACTCATCTCCACCCGGGGGACAGTGTAGAACTGCCCAGAGGTTTCAGGGCTGGCGCCTTGACTGGAGCAGATCATCTGTGGTCTTTTCTCCCTCGGAGTGGCTGGATGCTTTGGCATGGATGTAGCCATGGCCAATACACAAATAAGCAGAGCTGTGTGCCAGCAAAGCTTTATTTACAAAAACAGGTGGTCAGCTGACCCCTGCACAAAGATCTAAAGCTGACCCCTGCACATGGACCCCTGCACCAGAAGTCACCAAGCTGGCCTCACAGGCCTTCTGAAGGTTGACTGGGGGGGCACCTGGTCTCCTCCAGAAATTCAATTGTTTGGGATGCAGCAAGTTTTGTTCCTTGTTATTCTGTGGTACTTGTTGGTAGCACCCTGTGTTTCTAAAGAAGAGATCTTGACCCCTCCTTTTGGTGCCCTTCCTGTGTTCTTCTGTATTCCGTCCTCCTTGTCTCACTGATGGGGGGTTTCCGGATGAGACTCTTTCACAATCTTTGTTTTTGAAAGTCTGGACTTCTTTTCAGGCCCTCACCTAACCTGGGATAAAGAAGCAACACGCACAAGTGGGAAGAGCTCTCGCTGGAGCACTGGCTGGACTATGCCACCGGCTGGCTGTGCGGCTTCGTATAAGTCACCTAACCTCTCTGAGTCGTCCTTTCCTTTTCTGTAAAAGGAAGGCCCCAGGCTAGCTGATCTCTACAATCCCTTCTACCTCTGAGCCTAGGATTTTAGGAAGCTGCAGGTCTCAACTCCAGGCAACTGTTGGGGCCATTAATTAGAATGTCATTCACAGACGCTAATGAAACTTCGAGGAAGAATTCGCCACATGATCTCCTGTCACTGGCAACCTTCCCAAGGCCTTCGCAGTTGAAGGGGCAGGGTCCCAGCTAACTTCAGAGAAGCTGAAGTCCCACCCCACTGAAGGGAGACGGAGTAAGACAACCGACTCGAGGGGTCCTACGCACAAGGAAAATGAATTTCCATCGAATTAGTTACAAAACGGGCACCCGTGTTGGCCCACGTTGTGGTTTATTTTATGTAATTTCATGTAAAAACAAACAAACTGGAACATAAGAGTCTAGAAGGAGCTACAGTTGGAAGGTGGGGCACTTTGTCTTCTCCACCAGACCCTCCAGTGTAAGACTCCCCTGGACACATCAAAGACACCCCTTAAAGCCCACCCGATAAATATAAAAATACCTAAGGAGCAAGCAGATGGGAGTGTTTGAGGGTTTTTAAAAATTGAGCATATTCCAGCATGTGCTAAAAGAACATAGGTCTTCTCTCTGGATGGGGATGGAGGAGGTCGTCAGAGCTGGGTTTGGGCCCAGGCAGGGACTGGCAGTGGCTGGTGGTTTGGGTTAATCATTGGCTGGTAGTGGTTGATCGGTCAGGAAGGGGAAGAGTCTGTTTGGCATCATGCCCACTCTCTCAGGCTCACTCTCCTGCTCAGAGCCCAGAGGCCTGGGGGTGTAGTGTAGCAGAGGGGCAAGAGGCTGGGGCCCTCTCTCTCCTTCCTTAACACCACCTCCAGGCTGGGAAAGGAGTGGAGCAGCCTGGATTCTGGTCTCCAGGAGAGAAGCAGCTCCTTGTCAGACTCTGAAAGAGCGCTAGCATTTGTAACCTAAATAATTCACTCACCAATCTCTCAAGGAACACTAGAAGAAAAACAAAACTCGATCCAGCCCTCCTGCTCACGGTTCTTACTGTACAAAGAGCAGGTCAGGAAGCTGGGAGTGCGCCCTCCCCCCTTCCCACCCCAGCCCAAGCTACAGAGAGAGTCCATCTTCAAAGGTACACCAGGTTGGCGAACTTCTGAGCAGAGTCCTGAAGCTGAGAATAGTGTGTGAAATCAAAAATAAAACAAAGCAGGTAAATAAACTCTGGTGCATACATACAATGGAAGATTTTGCAGCACTTCAAAACAATGATGAAAGAGTCAAATAGCACAGAACATGGAGCTATTTGGCGAACACTATGCTGAGCAAAGGAGCCCTTTGCTGGTGTAGTGGTTACAAGATGGGCTGCGATCCGAAAAGTCAGGAGTTCAAAACCATCAGCCACTTCTTGAGAGAAAGACGGGACTTTCTACATCCACAAACAGTTCCCATCTTAGAAACTAAGAGAGAGGGCAGCGCTATCCTGTCCTGTAGGGTCACAATAAGTCGGCATTGACTCGATGGCAGTGAGTTTGGTTTTAATTTTTTGGTATGCTCACCAAAGTTCGTCAGTCTCATAAAGACAAATACTTCATGAAACCACTATTTTAAAAGAAAAACACAAACACAAGAAAAGGGGGTTTCACACCCAAACAAGCAGACATTGAAGGCTACGGGGCAGCTGGAAGTGGAGGAGGGAGCGGTAGACGTGGGGGACGAAGAAGAAAAGGCTGGAAAGACAAAAAAGAATAAATGGACACAGCAAACCAGCAACAACAAAACAAAGAATACGTGATCGCATTTATGTGGTCGGCAGTGCTTAAACCATTTACTCTCTGCATCTTTCCCAGACATTTGCCAAACTCCTAATCCATTCCCCAGCCCCGATGGAGACTGTGAGAAAATTTTGACCAACTCCTTCCCACCCCCCTGATCCCTGAACACGCTATCCGCAGAGACCCACCTGTATTTAGCCTGCCAACCTGGGCTTACAGTCTAGGGAGAAAACAGCATCACTGTTCACCCCATTACCAGAAAAGAAATAAAAACAAGATAAACTTGAGGTGAGGAGGGGGCAATATCAACTGGCCTTGGCTTTACTGAATGGGGAGGTGGGGGAAGGAGGGTGAGCAGAGCCCCCGCATGTTATCCGCATCATCTTCTCCGGGGGTCAGAATTCAGTGTCTTCTGAGCCACTCTACCAGCACCCCTGTTCCCAAGGGCCCCACTCCTGTCCCTGAAGTCCTGGAGATTCCAACAATCACGGAGGCTGCCATTCACCAAGTAACCCATGCCCCTGAGACCCGGAAGCCTGAGTGTTTTCTCCACGCCACTGAGAGTGTCAGTCTGGCAATGCCAAGCCCCTTCGATGGCAGAGTGCCTATCTCCCACCCCTACTGCCCAGCAGGAACCTTTGAAGGGGGAGACCCACAGCCTTAAAGCCGCCTGGACTCTTTGGGAGCCAGCGTCACAACAGTCACTGCCAAAGGACCCTGGAAGAGGTGGCCCAGGCCCGGCGTGGGGTTGACAGCTGGGATTGCCCTAGCTGCCCCTGGATTGAGTGGCCCCTGACGGTCATGAGCCAGGCACCCACAAATCAGGTAAGCCTCACCACTGTTTGGAATTGTCTGGGCTGAGGCAGAGTGGACAGGAGGGGTAGGATATTTCAGATGAGAGGACAGAGACTGTTGAATATTCTAGCTTTCCTGAGGGAAAACAAAACAGGCAAAAACATTGACGCTGTTCAGCTAGGACGATGTGTTCTTCGTGTACCGGAGACAGCCACGTGGAAGGCCCAGGTTTGGTTCTCAACAGCCAGAGTGGAAGTTGTGTTAAAGACTTGAGGACCCACGGGTGAGACCTTGGGAAGGTCACCCCATGTCTCTGGCGCTGAGATTCCTCATCTGTTAAAACAAGTAATTTTGTTAAACAAAATTTAACTTTGTTAAAACAAGTAAACAAAAACCTGAGGTGCTTGGACAAGGATGATTTTGAGGCCCTGTCTATCCAGCGCCCAACGGACAGTGTCCACCAAGTGACACCTCTGCAGAAGCTTGAGTGAGCCGCTGTTTGGCTTCATGTTTGCCTTTCTTCCTCACGTCAGTCCATCCCTCCAAATGAGACAGGCCTGGTCTGGCAGCAACCAGGAGATCTGTCCTTCAATGTGTCAGGAGCTGGCACAAATCCTCAGAAGTGTTCAGCACGTGGCTAGGAACATATGTGATCAGAGATCCATCCACACTTGCTGAGCAGCTGGATGGAACTTTTCCTGGAAGGAGTGATGCTGAATGTGGTGGTGGTGGTGGTGGTGGTGGGGGTGTTCGGGTCAATGAGGCCTCGTGTTTGCTGAAGGATCCGGAACAGTACTCTTGAGTCCAGGGCTCAGATGAGCCTGTCTTGTCCAGGCCATGGCCCCCAAATGCTATCGAGTGACCTACGGAGCAAGTGATGAGAGAAGGTTAGTGCAGGGAAGGTCTATCCCATCCCAGCATGCCGGAGGCTCCCCAGGATCAAACAGGCCACGGAGAGGTCAATGTTGCCAAGCCCTGACCTCTAAACAGTCCAGACTGGCCCAGGGACTCAGGCACACAGAAATCAGGTAAGCCTCACCACAGTTGGCTTCAACGTAACCAGTTGCTGTGGAGTTCATTCCAACCCCATGTGCGTCAGAAGAGAACAGTGCTCCACAGAAGGTTTAACGGCTGAGTTTGGGGAAGTCGATCTCCATCCAGGTCTTTCTTCCAAAGTGCTTCTGGGTGGACTCGAGCCATCAAATGTTGGGTTATCGGCCAAGCCTATGGAGTGCGCCAACCAGGGACCCTGGCTTCAGAGCAGCTGCTCACATTTGTAAGCACAGTGATGCACGAGCCTCTACAGGCTGCAAACTCAAACCTACAAAACGGTGACAAATGCCACCGAGTCTACGATGGGCCTCACTCTCTTCTAGTGTTAAATCGACTTAAGAATGGCTGTCCCACCCCCCACCCACCTTGCTGTTTGGATATCAGAAGCTCCACTTTATCCCCAACCAAACTGGTTCTCCTTGGGTTTTTCTGCTCCCTGAAACTGGCTGCTCTCTTCAGAAACGGAAAGGCTGTGTTTCCTTCTCAACTTGATTTGTTTACTGGGTTGCTCTGTGTGTGTGTGTGTGTGTGTGTGTGTGTGTGTGTGTTGCTTGGCAGGAGGGCAAGAAGGCCAAGCTCTGTCTTGCCATGCAATGCCACTCATCTGCATACATGGTGATGACAATGGTGCGACTGATTAATGGTGACACAACGTGGGACTGCTAACGAGTTTGGTACAATTTTAATTACCCCTTGTTCTGTTGGGGGGACAGCAAACTGCATCCTCTCAGGCGCTGTCACAGCAGAGCATTCTGACTTAGAGGAAGGCATCTAACAGCTGCAGGCACTTATAACAGTAGGGCTTGGCAGGGATGGGCGGGCACAGTGCATCCAGGAAGAAGTTGGGATTCTCCTCTGAATTATCTGGATAATTCTCTCAATTCTCCGCTTTGTTCACATAGACCTGACATTTTCTGCAGGCAAACCCACTGCAGGCAACGAGGAGGGAATGAAGGTGTGCAGCGTGTCAAGCCCTGGGTGCCTAATTCCAAAGTCCGCTAGGACAGACCCGGCAGCCCTGTCCGTGGCTGTGCCCTCATGATCTGCAGATCTCACCTTGGGTCATGGACATGGACATCCGACACCCCCAGCATTCCTGTGCTTCCTTTCCCACCCCAGGGGAAGGTGGAGGGGAAGGCAGAGCGTGGGGTGGAAAGGCATGTCCATACCTTGGTGGTCTTCACTTTGTGTCCACTGCTGCAGCTCCACCCCGACAGGTCCGGGAGCACCTTACACTCCTCCCCCGGCAGGCAGGGCTCCATCTGGCACCACCACTTCTGCAGGACAACGGAGGCTGTGGGGGCAGGAGCAGGGAGGGCAGCCCTAAGCTCTCTGGGAGGACAAGTGTGCAGTCAAGAGTGGACTGGGGACAAAGTGTGTTTCTACATGTCTCTGGCTCTGAACCCTGTATTTCCATGGACGCCAGGGCTTCCAGGAGAGGCAGCTCTCTGCCTGAACCCTGAGGACACAATCATATCAACTTTAATCCCACAGAGTTCCCACATATCACTACAGATGGTTTGGACTGAAGGCAGGGACACAAACCCAAACCAGACAACAAAACACACTGCCTATGGGTCGATGCGGACTCACAGTGACCCTGTAGGGCCAGGTAGAGGTGCCCCTGTGGATTTCCCAGACTGGAACTGTTGAGTGAAATCGAAAGCCTGGTCTTTCTCCCGCAGAGCTGCTGGCAGCTGCAACTTCGGCCCTTGCAGGTCACCCCATCACCACTATGCCACCAGGGCTCCTCCGAGGCAGGGAAGTTGGCGCTGCACCAACCCTAGAAGAGAGCTCCCATGTCCTCAGTCTAGAAGGAACCCTGGTGGCATAGTGGGGTATGTGCTGGGCAGTTAACGGCAAGGTCAACCATTGGAAACCACTGTTGGACTCCTCTCTCTGGGGGAAGAAAGACAAGGCTGTCTACTTCCATGAAGAGTTACAGTCTCAGAAACCCACAGGGGCAGTTCCATTCGGCCCCACAGGGCCACTAAGAGTCAGAATCCACAGGATGGCAGTGGAGTTTGGTTTGGAGGTTTCCATCAGTACAGCAGCACAATCTTCCACATGCCCTTAGGGGTGTGTGTGTGTGTGTGTGTGTGTGTGTGTGTGTGTGTCTGGGAGCCGTTTGAAGGGCTCCCCAAACCTAAGTGCAGGAGTGGGCACATGTATAACAGGAGTATGAGAAAGTGAGTGTGTGCAAGGCTGTGGGGAAGAGGTGGGGTGCAGCAGGTGTGAGTGCTCCATGTGGGTCCTGGGCAGGGAAAGAGTAGTAAAGATGTGGCCATGAGGCTGAGAGGAAGGGCTGGACCAGGCAGCTTGGGAAAGGCGCCGCCAGGGAAGAGGGGTCAGGAGGCTTGAGGTGAGAGTGGGAGGGCATGTTTGAGACTATCCCAGTGACAGAACGGACAGGTGGGAAGGCGCGCAGGTCCCGGGAGCCGTCCCTATCTATAAAGTGAGATGGCGACATCTGCCCTGCCTGACCCTGAGACGATCCTGACAGCTCTGGGAGCCTCATGACACTGTATCTCCAACAGATGGAGAGGCCTCACAGACCTTAGATCTCCCCGATCAGGGGCTCCCCGCCCCGGGGCTGGTCTCTCACTCACCGTCCACACAGGATGGCTTGGTCCGTGTGGTGCCGGCCACCTGGCCGGTCGAGCAGGAGCATTTGACAGTCTGCGAGCGCTCCTCGATGCGGTTCCGGTTACAGCAGCGGTGCGCAGCGATCACCTCGCAGGTGCCCTGCTTCACAAGGCCTGAGGGGCCAGCACAAGCTGGGGTGTTGGGCCCACCCAGCCCTGCTCCCCTCCCACCCACAGGGCCCATGCTTGGCGGAAGGATCTTGGGCCCAAGTTTCGCTCCATGCTTGGCGGAAGGATCTTGAAGGGGAGGAGGCAGAGGAAGAAATCTTCATAGAGCTTCTTCACAGTGCCTCTGCCATTCCTGCCTGCCTTCCTCCTCAGGGAGGCCCCACTCATCATCCCTCTGGCTCCTAGGGGTGCCTTTGGCACAGAAAACATGGCGTCGACAACAACCTTCCCCACCCTAGCCTACTCAGGGTGAGGGCAAGGGCCCCGGAGGCTTACAGTGCATGGAGAGGATCATCCGCTTACACAGGATTTAGCCATCCGGGAAGGAAAACTCCAGAATTAGGACAGGAGGCTAAGCATAAACCCCACCACCACCACCCACCCAGGGCCCGCCGCCCTGCAGAACTCCCGCCAGGCTGGAAGGAAAGGTAGTCTCTCCCAGCCAGGAAAGCTGAGGGTTCCCTGGATGATGAACACAGGAGCCAGAAGCCTTAGTATGTATGGAATGGACAGCTCCTGGGGGACAGGGGGACCTGCCTGCTGTGGAAGCGGGTCAGTGGGGCTTTTAGCTCTGCAGGTATTCTTGGAAACTCCTTCCCAGGCCCTGCACCTGCCCCTAACCTGTGGGAGTTGGCGGCTGCAAGGAAGCCGAGGCCAGGTGGGTCCACAGCCAGGCCAGACAAAGTGCCAGCAGCCAGCCACCGGAGTCCCCGTTCCGGGCAGCCCTGCCACTCATCCTGTGGAGAGAAAAGGCACACCCCTTGCTCCACTTCTGCAGGAGCCCCTTCCCCCACCCCAGCCCCAATGCCCAAACCACCCTCCCCCTCCTTTGTGTCCTGTGCTCTGGGAGCCCTGAAGGGTTCAAGGCACAGCCTCAGGTAGCCTTCAGCCTGGCACAAACTCCCTGGAGAAGTCATGAGTGCTACAGGGAGGAGGAAGGCAGCAGGAAGGGGGAGGTCGTCCCTGCAGGGGAAGTCAGGGAAGGCTTCCTGGGCGAGGTGAAATTGAAGACAGAACTTAAAGGATGCTCTAGCTGTGGTCCCACTGGGACTGTGGGATGGGAGGAATAATAATAATGCCCACCTATTGGCCCAGACACTTCACACACAGAATCTTGAAACCTTCAGGACAGCCCTGGAAAGATTACTGGAATCGACTTTGCAGATTCAAAACGTAACCCGAGCACTCTAAGAGACCATCAGTGAGGGGCTGGCTGACTACACTATGGGGCAGGTAGAGAAAAGCAGGCCCATCAGCTGTACACATAAACAGGGGTAGGGAGGGGGGCACCTTATGAGGGCATGCCCGCAGTAGTCTCCAGTGACAATCCACTACTACCCGGAAAAAATAGAGTAGGATGGCATGTGTGAAATGCTAACATCTATATCCTGGGGAGGGCTTATACATACTGCTTGGATATGAGTACACTAGTTCTGGAAAGATGTACAACAACAACAACAAACTAGTAGCGTTGGTTACCTCCAAGAAGGGGAATTGTGTGATTGGGAGATAGAAGTCAAAGGTAAACTCATTTTATCCCTAGTCCTTTTTAAATTTGGAACCATGGGAGTGTATGCGCTTTTCAACTTTAATTTAAAATTTTTTAATTTTAAACTTTTAATTTTAAAAAGGAGAAAGTTTAAAATTTTAATTTTAAACTTTTAATTTTAAAAAGGAGAAAGAGAATGAGGCTAACAGAAGTCAAATAACATGTCCAAAGTCACCAAATGCCAGGCTTCAGCTGCTCCCTTGGATATGAATCTCTAGTCCCCCAACCCCCAACTTCAACTGTCTCCCCACTCACCTCTTGTGGAAAGCTTTGGCTTCTGTTTGTCCACCCACTGGTCTCAGTCAGACTCACTCTCCCTGATCCAGTGAAAGGGTTATTGGGGGATGGCCCTCTGGCTCTGTCAAGGGTGAAGGAGGGCAGTGGAAGGACACTGAAGAAGCTGTTCCTCACAGGGTCCTGGGAATCCCCTGGTGTCCCTGGGTGGTGACCTGAGAAGAGTGGCCAGAGGGAGTGTCCCTGTCCCAGGAGTAAAGTTGTACCGGAGTGAGGCTGGGCCTGTGTAAGAATCAACACTGACATTTCTCTGCTCTCTGGAAGGGAGCTGAGCACCAGAGAAGGGCTCTGGGGTAAATCAGGGCCCACCTGGAAAGGATTCTTGCAGTATCCCTGCATCTTTCTCACCTCTACCTTCTAGTCCTTCATACTTTCCTTCTGGATTCGCAGGGAGCTAGCTCAACTGTGCCACACACACCCTCATTTTCACTCTAGAAGGTGTGAGGGAGGGAGGTGCTCAGAGGAAGGAGAGGGGGCCCCGGAGGCTACAGGTCCCAACAGCATCTCTATTTCTCCCTAAAGACTCTTTCTCTCTCAACCTCCAAAGGGAGAAGAAACTGGAACAGGTAGGAGGGTGGAGCCCCAGAAATACAGAGGGCTGTCTCCTACCTCCCAGGACAGAGCTGGACCAGGTTATGGAGGCGAAGAGGAGAGGTGGTCATCCTAATTCAGGACTGGGTTGCTGCCCAAAGAGAGGTTCCTAAAGAGAGGTTCCTGTCTTTCCGAGGGGCTATCTCTTCCCCTCGCCCCCATCATGAACCTGCCTTTCGATCCTTACAAATGTAGCTTTGTCTTCTCTGAGATCAATCCCATGCTCTTTCTCTCTGAGCTGCTATACCAACTCCTAGCCCAGTTCAATTCTCCTATGCCTTCAGTGAGCCTAGAGACCCCAAATAGCTCAGGGAAGAGGGGGCCATTTGGACCAATTTCCCCAGATTTTATTTCTTTCCTCTGAGAGCTAGGGAAAGAAGCTTCTGGGATCTGTTCTTGGGCTGGCACGCAGTCAGTGTCTACCCCTCCAGCCTCAGTGTCCCAGCCTTTCCTCCCAGCGCTGCAGAATGAGCAGTCTGCACACTGGTATGAAGTTGAGGATGTGAAGGATGAGAACCTTCAACTCCCTCCCTCCCTCCCCAACACCACCATTCCCGGCCGGTGCCCATTCCTCCTTCCAATCCCGATGCCCTCGCTCCCAAGAGTGCCCACTGATTCCACTGCGAGGCTGCGTCTCCCCTTGCTCTGAGCCCAGGAGCAAGACTTCGAAAGGCGTGCTAGCCGGGGGTCCCCGGCTTCCCGGTCCCCTTACCAAGTTGCTGCGTTCCCGGGACTGCGCGGCTCGGCTCTGCCTGCCGTCCCCGCACGGGGGACTCCGCTCCGGGCAGGGAGAGGCTCCAGCCCGCCCCCGCCGGCTCTGCAGAGCTCAGCCGGTTCCTCCGAGGCTCTCGGTGCCAGGCCGGGGAGCCCTCGCGTCCAGCAGCCCCGCGCGGCGTCGCCACCTCCTCGGGGACAGCGCGGGCACCGCGCAAAACGCTCGGCGGGTCGGCGGGCACAGCCAGGTGCAGCGGCCCCTGGCGGCTGCGGGTAAACAGGGGAGGAAGGACGCCCGGTGCCCGCAGATGCCGACCGCGTGGACATCTCATCTTGTCTAGACTGGAGTAGCTCAGAGGGACGCGCAGGCGGCTCCCTCCAAGCCCTAAGGTGGTCGGTCCCTAGTCCCGTGGCTCAAGGAAAGGGGCAGGTGTTGCCAGGAAGGAGACTCAAGGCTCTTGGGCTTTGAAGATTCTACGACTGCCCTGTCCACTTCTGTTGTCACCAGCGTGATGTTATTGAAGCTGAAATCTAGAGTCATTAAAATGAAATAGATCTAAGACGTCTATTGGACAAGGCAGGTTGGTATTCCCCAAGCCTTTATTTTTAAGATATTAAAAATCAATAGTAAATGATCTATCTCCACCTCAGGAGTGGTGCCCTGGGGGCAAGCTGGGTGGACTAGGAGTGAGGGGTAGGGTGGGGCCAGTAGGAAGGCTGCAGCTGGCTGTGAAATGAAGGATCCCTGTGATTTTGGTGTGAATCCAAGCAGGCTCGGTTTCTTCATCGGAAAAATAGCTGTCATGTTCCCACTTTCCTACAGGGTAAAATGTCAGACGGGAAAGTACTGGACCAATTGTAGGAAATGATCTGTGAACATGTTTAACAGCAATGACAGGCCTTTTCACTCAGGGGGGCTTTGGTGACAACTGAGTAACGAGGAGAGAAAGGCAGGGGAAAGTGGCCTCTGGGATATATCCTTGTGGCCGGCTGGGCCTAAGAATGCTCACCCCACCCTCCCTGGCTGAGCCCTCAAGCACCCCTCCTTTGCGCAGGACTCAGGTTTTGAGCAGTCCATTCTGGGCAGAGAAAAGCCCTGATTGGCTCATAAGTCTGCTTCCTCCTTCCACTCACGCCCCCACCCCCCATCTCTGCTGCCTGGGGCTGAGCAGAGGTGGTGGTGACCTTCTCTGGGGTTCTGGGGCACTGAGAGGACAGAGCAGGTATGAGTTGGAACTCGGAGGTGAGAGGTCCACCGGAAGGGAGCCACACTCTTTGCACGGGGATATGGCCAGAGGGTTGCTCTAGGGCCCTGGAAGTCAGCAGCATTTCTGCTGACCATCTGGTGCTGCAGCTGGGGGTGTCTGGGTCCTGGCCCTGTGCGGTACAGTGGAAGAGTGAGGAATAAGGGTCTGTCTGGATGACACCAACAAGTGACAAGCAAACTGTCCTAGAAACACCGAATAATAAAAATAACCATTATGTTATTCCCCTCCCTACCCCCCCTCCCAATTTGCTTGAGGCTACTGTTTATCTAAGAGCTGTTTCCAGTTTTTCTCTAACTGGAGGGACAAACCTATATCAGCAGCATGTTCTGTCCCCCAATTGCCTCCCCAATCTCTGTGAATCTGGTTAGACTTTTCTCTTGTGGTTTATTCTCTAGCTTCAAAGTACAAGTACAATTCTACAAACGTGAATGACTATTGTGAGATTATTTGGAAGCTTCCAGGACAGGAAGCTGCCACTCTTTTGGGGGAGTGGGGGTGGAGAGCGGGGGCATAGTTTAACACAGGGAAGGGGTGGGTGTGATGAGGGATCTTGTGACAGAGCCTAGACGTTTGGGTCCCCATCAGGTGCCAGTGGGCTCTGATAGTTATACCAACCTGCACTTGGGCCATGAGGAGGCGCTGAAACCCTATTTGGGATGGTGTGTAGAACAGTGGGTGTCTCAGAGACCCAAAGATCAGTTTCTGGATAAGTTTCTGACCCAAAGATCAGAGTTCTTCCAGCATTGTGTCAGTACCACTAACCCCTTCTCTTCACAAAAGCAAACCAAAAATCAAACTCACTGCCATGGACCCAACCTATTGTGACCCTCCTGTGGGTTTCCAAGACTATAACTGTTTTCAGGAGTAGAAAGCCCAGTCTTTCTCCCATGGACTTTAAACTACTGGCCATGAGTATCAGCCCCACACATAACCACTACACCATCAGTGTTCCTCTTTGTAAGAAAAAAGGCAGAAAGAACAGGTAGCCCCATGGGTGGCGGGCCCAGTTTCAGTCCACCTCTTAGGCAGGCACTTTGAATTGGCCTCTGTCTCCCCCTTGCGGCAACCACAGAACTTTTTCAGCATCCCTGGGCTGCTCTCAGTTCCTGTCTTAAGAGGCGGTGGTGGGTGGGATGAAAGGAAGCCTCATAGCTCTCAGCCACCCATTCTTCCTCCTAACTCCTCCTCATTGGACCTGAGAAACAGACTTGGTTATTCAAATGGATCTGGTGGGAACTCAGGAGCTGACATAGATCTGAATCTCTCATTGGCAAGTCACCCAAAATGATAGGAGCATTCACTCCCGTTTCATCCCTAAAATGCACATAATAAAGCCCACCTTGAAGGGCTGGTGGACAGCTTAAATGGCTTAATGAACGGGAAGTTACCCATAGAGGGCCCAGTGTCCAGTTATATCCTCAGTGTCATTCACTGTTAGCTGCCTGCAAGTCAGTTTTTACTAGAGCAAATCTATCTATGCACAACAGAATGAAGCAATGCCTGCTTGCTATGATTATTATCCTTCCTAGTGAGTCCTGCTGTGGTTAGGGGATGTTTGGGCACAAGGCCAATAGAGGGAGAAACTCCCTACACGGAGATGCTGAGAGACCAAAACACTGACCAGTCTGAGAGACAGCAGTTATTTGCACTGGGGACTTGGGTCTGGGATGAACAGTATTGCTCCTTCCAGCAGCAGCCCTCTGGACAGTTATAGGGATGGTTGTTGTGGGCCTCTTTTTATACTGGTTACAACTTTGACAGAGGTGAACTACTGAAACCAGTAACACCATGACACTGGTTCACTCGCTTGCTGGCTCGCTCACTCATTCACTGTTATAAAACAGGTTAGAACTGCCTCCTGTGAATTTCCCAGACGAGCTTACCCTAAACTCATTGTTAGGTAGACATCATTGGGCACCAGATTGTATCTTTGTGTGGGAGTGGGGGTCGGCTGGGGGTTGCAGAACAAGAAGCCTTCCAGTGGCCTCTGGCTGTGCTGTAGCACCCAGACTCCCTTGTGGAGATCAGGTGCCTTCCAGGTGGACCCAAGGGCACAGGGAATGCCAGCCTGGCTGTAGTTCGGCCATTTTGGAGTGCTAACTAGTTTCTGAACAGATAAGGTCTCCACGTGGGGAGAAATCGATCCTGGCAAAGGTAAAGAGTAACAACCGCTCTTCCAGATCTCCAGGTGGTCTTCCCCAGAAACAGTGGCGGCAGGGGTCGTGGAATTGATTTCCAGTTCTCTGGAGCCCTGGTGGGACATTGGACTAAACGTTATGTTGCTCACCTGCAAGGCCATCAGTTCAAATCCACCAGCGGCTCCCCCTAAGATGAGGCTGGCTGCCCCCATAAAGATTTGCAGCCCTAGAAACCCTAGGGAATTAGATTCTCTGGCTTGTAGGGTCGCTATGAGTCGCATGGGCTTGATGGCAGTGGGGTTTAGTTTGGGGGTTCCTAATTCAGTGGCGGGCTCCACCCTTCATTGCCCCACCCCCACCCCCGCCCCCACCAGCAGCCGATCGTCCGCGCTCTCACTCCAGCAGCTCCAGCCCGAGGTGTTGTCACACCAGGTGCTTCACACCCAGAGGTGGTTAACGTCTCCCCAAAGCAGCTGGTTTCGCTCTTAAGTCATCAGCTCCATCGCCTTCCAACAGGCTGGCTGCTCAGAAGCGAGGGAGGGCGTGAAGCCTTTTCTGCCTCGTCATAATGGGAACGTTCTATCTACGTGATGTATTGTCTAAAGCACGGCAAAAATGTTTCCTTCTCTCGGTCCCCCTTTCTAAAACAACAGACACCCGCCCGCTCCAAGCCCCCCAAAGATTGAGGCGGAGCGAAGCCTGAATGGGGCGGAGTAGCGGCCTGGAGCCAGTCGGGCGGTTCCCGGGGTGGCCCCGAGGCGGAGGAAGTTTTGCAGGAACTGCCCAGCCCGCCAGCAGCCAATGGCCTGGGAGGGCCGGCAGGAAAGAGCACCGCCCACCCCGAGTCCAGGGGGGCGGGCCCTTCAGGGGGCGGGGCCGCGGACGAGGGCGGGGCACGGAGGCAGCATGCTAAGCCGGGTACGCTCGGCGGTTGCGCACCTGGTGAGCTCCGGGGGTGTCCCGCCTCCGAACCCCAAGCCCCCGGACCTGCCAAACACGACCTCAGTGCCGCCGGCCCTCCCAGAAACTCCCAAGAGCCTGCCGGCCAGAGCTGGGACCGGGACCGGGACCGGGACCGGGACCGGGAGCGGGGCGCCTGCGAAGACCGTAGACACTCGAGCGAGCTTCTCCAGACCGACCTTTCTGCAGCTGAGCCCTGGGGGGCTGCGACGCGCCGAGGACCAAGCGGGCCGGGCTGTTCAGAGCCCCCCAGACACCGGCCGCCGCCTGCCCTGGAGCACGGGCTATGCCGAGTGAGCGCCCCGGGGGGCACCAAACCTGGGTCGGACCCTCACCCCACCTCCCCAGTTCGACATCCACTCGCTGCACCTCTCCGCCTTGCCCTTGGGACCTGGAGCACCCTTTCCCAGGACCTTTACCACCCGAGGGGTTTCGCGGCCGTAGCCCCACCTCCAGCCCTCTCGAGTGGGGTGCAGCCTGAATCGCCTCCCAGCTCGCTGGCTACCCTCACTCACACCGTCTCTGAACTCCTCCTCCCCCCCCAAACAGAGGGTCCACCCAAGGACGAGTTAGCCAGTTCTAGTCTTGGCCCCGCAGTTTAATGGTTAAGGGAGGAGGGGGTTTCAAGTAAGAGCGGCCTTCCTTTTAATAAGAGAGGTGGCAGCTGGGAAGGCTAGCACCTCGGCTTCCCAGCTCCAGCGCCCCAGTTCCCTGCCCCCCTTACCACTCCCCTCCCCCTCCACACCCAGAAATAGCCTGAGACACAGAGCAGCCACCTTCTTCCCTAGGGGAGAGGGAGAGGGTTGCCGGGACAGCGGAAAAGCCCCTTAGGACTACCCCCCATCCCCACGCCAGCTTTCTGGGGTAAGGGAAAGCCCACCCCTACGCCAGGCCCTGGTGGACAGCGCTCGCAGGCCGTATGCATTTTTAATGTGTCTGCCGGGAAGGCTGAGCCTAGGGAGATGGCGGGTGGGCTACGGACCCCCCACCACCTCCGTTTGTTGGCTTCCTGGTTGGGAAGGGTTGGTTACGGGGCCTAAAACAAAAAAGCCACACCTACCCCTTGGAGTTGATTCTGACTCAGAGCGACCCTGTACCCCATTTCAATTCCTCTTCTGGATCTGGGCTGGGGCACTTCCTCCTTGCTAAAGCTGCAGAAACTTGCCCTGGATGGTTGAAGGATAAGGGTGGGTGTGCCCCCCAAGGGTAGGGCCCTGGGGTAAAGCACTGGATGAGTGGATTTGGGGTGGAGGGCTTGGCAAGCAGGTCAGTAACAACTGCTCCCCTCACTCCAGTTTCCGCTTCATGCTCCCCATCCCGACCCAGGACAACCCCCTCTGCCAAGGCAGACAGGGTGTTGGTATCACCCTTAGTATGAAATGGTGGGACCTGCCACTCAGACAATGTTCCTTGGCCTTGCTGTCCCTCCCAGCCTGGATCTCCCTCTGGCCTGGATCCCAGGTAGCTGTGACCTTTCTCAGCTTGGCCAGAGAGAATGTATGTGTCTAAGGTGGGGGTTATTCCGGGACACGGTCTCCTGTCCAGCTTTACGTGGTCACTCTGGCCTGGCAGGGTCATCAACGCTGGCAAGAGCCGGCACAATGAGGACCAGGCTTGCTGTGAGGTGGTGTATGTGGAAGGCCGGAGGAGTGCCAGCGGGACACCTAAAGAGTCCAGTCAGGGCCAGGTAAGCCCCTACCTACCCTCCCCTCTCTTCCTGGGGTCTGGGCACTCCTTTGAAGTCTGAGTCTTGCGCCTCCTAACTCACTTCAGGTTTATAACCTGGCCTTCGTCAGCTCGGTTCTACCGTGGCAGGATTAATGTCTCCTTTTTCACTGGTTGTACATGTTTACATGTACATAGTGGGCTAATTCATTACCCGCTTCAATTTTCTTTTGAGTCCTTTATTATCTGAGTCTGGCTTTTCTGATGTGTCCTTTCTCCTTGGTAAACAAAACAGTGTGTTTGTCTTCAATATCAAGCTCTCTGGTCTCCTCTCTGACCTTCCATGGATGCCTTGAAACGTGCCCTACTCCCTGATATCTCGCTCTCTCCCTCTCCTATGCACGCACACACTTGCACACTTACCTCCCACGTGTCCTCCTCCAGGGACTCTGCTTCTACTATTGGGGCCTATTTGATGGACATGCAGGGGGTGGAGCTGCAGACATGGCCTCCAGGCTCCTGCATCGCCACATCCGGGAGCAGCTCAAGGACCTGGTGGAGATACTTCAGGACCCCTGTCCACCCCCCCTCTGCCTGTCATCCTCGCCCGGGGCCTCTAACCCTTCCCACCTGGTTGGCCCTCAGTCCTGCTGGTCTTCTCAAAAGGAAGTGACCCATGAAAGCCTGGTTGTGGGGGCCATTGAGAATGCTTTTCAGCTGATGGTGAGTGGCTGTCCCGGTCCCAGGTCAGGAAGGAAGGCAGACACTCTGGCTAGTAGCATGTGGGAGTCACGTGGGTGGGC